GCCCCGCCCCGAACCCGCCCCGTTGCCATCCCTATGTATAAGACAAAACACCAACCTTAATCTCTTTAAGAAGTTCGTATCCAGTCATCCCAGGCATGGAATAATCTGTCATTATAAGATTAACCTTCAATCCCTGAAAATCGATGCAAAACTTGATTAATTATTCATTATTTCAAATGAAATCAAATTTTACACACTACTTCTCTAGCAGCAATAAAATGAATTTTCTTGATATTCAAACAAACTACTTGAATGTGAAGCTCATTCATTAATCCAACAAAATCAACCAGAAATTTTCTCAACATGAGAAAACTTCAATTCAATTCTTACATCAAATTCAACAGGGCTTTTGTCTCCATCCAACTGATCCAAGCCCAGATATTGCAGAGCCCTCCTCCCACTTTCCACAGCGGTCACTGCAAAGTGCACAACCACCATTCAAATCAACTAAGAAACTCGATTTTGAGACTTGATTAAAACACACGCTCATTAAATTAATGTGCTCGAGTTTTTTTATAACATGAAGATTATACCTTTACAACAAGAAATCTTCAGTAACTTCTCAATGACCTTCCTATCCACATGGCTATCATCCACTGCAAGAACATGCAGATTTGGTGCAGTACCACTCGATGAAGAAGAAGAAGAGGAACCGCTTCCCATTTCTTGATACATATCCATTTTCCTCTACAGGGCAGGCTTGATAATAGACTTCAAAAGTTTTTATTCATATACATGTGGGAAAGACTTTCAAGATATGTAGACAAAAATAGATATCGAGTATCTAAGCTGAATGGCTGGAGATACAGACAGATAAATCTTTGCAAATCTATTTTCCACTACATTCGACTTGTCGTTTTATTAATATTGTTATTTCAATTAGACGTGGATGAATTTGGGTGGGTATACAAGGTTTGACTCGTCATTTTTGTTAGTAATTAAGTAAAAACGATAATAAAAATTATTTAAAAGCTAAAATTAAAACAAAATTTTGAGGTGAATTAGCTAGTTCTTCACTGGAAATTACAAGAAAATATATAATTTTGATAGTATATTAAAATAACTTCGTAATTGACTAGACTTTTCAAAGTCCTCCTGCGTGTCCCAATCTGACCAGCCGCGTCAAAAAAGAAAAGATGCCTGTATTTCCTCCATCCCATCACATGGTTCCATTTATAGATTAAGCCCTGTTTGACAATCATATTTTTTTTCCAGAACTCTTTTTTTTTTTTTAATTAACCACACATTCTTACAATAAAATATTCTACACGTAAATTCAAAATTGAAATTTATTTTCTTCTTGATTTAAGCCGAATTGTTCTTGAAGTTGATACAAGAAAATGATTTAACTAAACTAGACGAGACGAGAAATCTAGTGAATTCAATCACTTTATTTGTTTTCCATTAGAATGCATGAAAGGGCTCATGAATGGTGAATTAATTTTCTGGAAAATTGAAACTGCAATAGGCACGTGTGATGTGAGACAAATATCAATTGCATGCTTTCGAGAATTGCTAAGTTGATTGTAAATACTAAATGGTAACAATCATTAGATAAGTTGATTGTAACTGCTAAAAGAGTTTGTTTCAAGAAATGAGGTAAGGGTTCATGGAGGCTTCTTGCACATGAATCTGTGTCTTCTTTAGTCTCGGGATAACTGTATGAAAAGCCAAACAAGAGGCAGGGGAAACAATGAGCGACCGACATATCTATGACATGTTTGGTGAAGATGATTAGATGTACTAAAGAGGTAAAAACACAACAAGAGGCAGGGGAAAGTCATCAAGTAGATACATGATTGCGCAAGAAGATATACACAAAAAAATCAACAAAGTGGCAAGCTCACCTTAGGCCCTCGGCTGGTCAGCCGGGACCTTCCCTGTTCTTCCGTTCCCTCCACGAGAAAGATGCAAACGATCTAGACCTGTATTCGAAGTTTCCCTGGGGTTGGTAAGGCGAAATGGGACCAAAACAATCGACAAAGTGGCAAAGTTGTTTCTAATGCATTCTTACCATTTCGAAAGCTTTCACGGTCTCCACAAGTGTGCTCGTGTGTACAAATTGACAAAAACACATGCACAGACATGAAGGCATGGAGAGGTAGAAAGATAGACAGATAGAAGCAGATTATCCATACCTGGTGTTACGCCTCATTTTTCCAAGGCCCAGGAAGAGGCGCCACGTAGCAAATCACGTAAGCGAAAAGTCAACAAGTTAAATAAAGACCGTATGAGATCAAAATATGAAGAAATCAAACAAAACCAAGGTAATTGAGTTGCAAGGCCGAGGCATTGCCTCAAAAGGCCGAGGTCCATATTGAGGCCGAGATCCATGCTAAGGCCGAGGTCCACTACTGAGGTGCTGCCTCAAGGACTAAGCACTACGATCTTGGGCTGAACCACTGAAATAAAGAAAGGAGCTGAAGCTCTCCACTTGGCGAACCACCTTAAAGATCTCTCCGAGGCTCTCAAACTCGTCCGAAGCTCACGAAGTCGACGTTGTCTCTTGTAATAGGTTTGAAGATCTATTAGAAGTGATTGATGTAACACTTGTAATAAAGTTTGTCAGTATGTCAGCCTATCGTATAGGACGACTGACCCTTTATCAATGTATTAATTGTATGAATAGACAGTGATGTGATGCGATGTTGTGACCTGGGGGATGAAGCCACGTGCCCCTTCATCCAACGGTCACCACTTTGGCTAGAGCCCTATAAATACCAACCCTTGTAACACTTAAAAGAGGTTGGATGATTGATTGAGAAAAGGAGAACTCACACTTGAAATACATAATCACTTGGGTTTATTCTCCATCTTCTTTGGCATGTTTATAAGTGGTAAATTCTTGTATACAACATAGCTACTTGAATATATGTCATATCTATCATTCCACATATTCTTGTTTATGGTTACATAAATTAGTTTTGGTTTCATCCCGGCAATCTTTGTTAGCGCGATTGCTTTTGTTCCACCCACTGGAACTCGAACATTTTTGTCTTTCGTTGCAAAGTATCTCCCGCGTCCATTTTCCTCGTTGCTATCGTCATCATTCCGGTAGGAACGCGCCGGAACCGTACCTGACTTGGTGTGAGTGAGCCCGACATCTGTTGATTCATTTTTTGGGGTCAACACTTCGAAACACAGGGAGATATACTGTAAGCTATAGTATGAGAGAATAAGCATCACAACACTGGAATAAGTTTATGTTAAAACATGGATCCATGCATGGGGAGGAGAAAGACAGCATATCAATCAATATGACACAGGTTTTTTCTGCTCGTTGTTCATGACTGAACTTTTGTCTTGATTTTAGAAGTATATTTCTTAATATCTAATTATTGTCAGATTAAGTGCAGGAAACTTGCTTTCCAACCATTAATATTCAAGATAGTGCACTACATCAGATCTGAGAAGACATTGAAGATTGAAGATGAGCGTATACACAATGTTCACATAAGGATTAGACAAAGGAACTCTTGGCCAGATAGAAAGATAACCTCATCTGATACACTCAATGAGAGGACAGGCAATCCTCAAAAGACAAATTCAAAGAATCCAAAACAAAAACCGTGAAAGAGAACTTTCAACATTTGTAAGTTTTCCTATATTCTCTTAATATCTAACATCAAAATCATCGAGTCATTAAAATTCGTTGAATATTTGGCATTGCTATTTAACAGGTTTTCTTCACCATTGTAAGCAGTCCACACCAATTCATAACACTTATCCTGTGTCAAAGCATTCTTCCTAGCGTTGATGCATTTTATGTTTGCTGGCCATGCATATAAAGAGAGTATATGCCATAATTTGAAATATAACCATCAGGAGAATCAAATACAATAGTTGCTCTAATCAATGAGATTGATGAAATACCAATTCGTGCAAAAACAGCCAATTGTAAGGAATCAACAGAAAAAGAAAACCCTGTACGATGAACCATATCCATCTTCAGTTAATGATAGTGAATAGATCTGCAATTTTTAATAATCACAATATGTGGGGAAAGAATTAACTATTCATATGCTTCCGGAAGAAAACTAATTTTCTTAAAGAATCCTAGAATATCCATTATATCCCCCCAAAACCAGTTACAATGAGATCCTGGGTACCCAATGGATTATTTCGATAGCAGAGTATGATGAAAAGAATTATTAATAGACCAAAATCAGATATGAGAAGACAGAAGATTGAAGATGAGCGTATACACAAGAAACTGCAGATTCAATTCATGCCAAGACAATGATGTTGTATTACGCAGCAATCTCCTGCCGTCATCTAGGTTTAACGGGAACCTGATGTCCTCAAATTGCAATTACAGGCACAAGAAGTTTTAACTCAAATGATGTAGGACCAAGTGTGAAGATCTTCCTCCACAAGTATAGACGGAAAATTCAAAAGTTCTAACACTTCCTGTTACAGGGGAAAAAAAATTATATATATAACTTAAATGATTTAGCATGTGAAAGATCAAAGAAACTATTTTCAAAGGCTTAGTGCTTGTCTAACTTTCTGAAAGTCAAAGAAGAGTGCAAGAAGAACTAAAATACACTGCTAAAACTCAAGGGCATTCATTATTGGATTAGACAGCAGAACCCAATGCAATTAGGACCTCAAAAGCTCTGCAAAGAATCAATAAATAATCACAAGGGCTTATCCTTCAAGGAATCTCCAACTCCCAACTAGCAATTCAGCACTTAAGTGACGTCAGAATAATTCCAATAAACTCAATGTAGCTCCTAATATGCATAAAAAAGCACGAGACTGGAAATAAAATTCTCTAACTCAAGTTACAGCAACAACCTACATTTAACAAATTTATATAATACCTCGAATTAGCTAAATTTACAAAAACAATAAAACTGAACCGTCAATCCTAGAAGGTAAAAGGAAAAAGAAAAAGAAAAAACCATAGCTAGGTCTAAATAGCTTAAAACAGAGAGCAATTTTCAGCTGTGTTTTTATTGATGAAAGCAATGAAGTAACATGTCTCATGATCGCATGAAAGAAAATTCGCAAGGAGACCACATTCATAGACATGGCAAATTCTAAATTATAACTTTTGCTTCTTATATTCTCCTAAGATAAGAAAGTAGCATATCATTTGAGGATGAGATTCTCTAAATGAGCAAAAAACATGAAGTGAACTCCAATAATAACATAAACATAATATAAAAACCATCTATCCCATGAGCAGTAGGTGGAAAATCATTCCTGAAAAAAATCTAGTCTTGCTGTCAATGCACTAAAGGAATGACAACTATCAAACGACTATTAGATTTTTCGAACACCATAGCCCAAAATCATTTGAGAAGTGATTCACTGTAAAATGCAAGATGAACATTCCACTAGAGCCCAATATAGCCTCCACTGCAACTCCAAACAAAAAGACCAACGTCAAAAGTATATATGGATGTATTTCACTACTTCGGTCAAAATAGTCCAAAAATGAGACATTATTTTAAGCTAATATAAATTTAAATATCTAACATTTCATAATGCCAGGTCGGTGACAAATATGTTCGGCATTTTAGGAAAAATTGCGGAGTGACAAGAAATCCTTTGAACCAAAACAGTTTACGTATATCTGGTCTTATACTGGTTATTGTTACTCCATTCAATCAAATGATTATATTATAAAATAGAAGAATAAGATAATGCAACCTGGATGAAGTGTACCTCAATGCCCATGATGAATTGACGATCATTTAAGTCCAACAAAAATACTGCTACACTTGCCGAATCCTATCAACACAGTTCCATCCAAATCACATGGTTTAACTTAAATCAGAGACACATACACACACTACTAAGTCGAACAATGTGGCATTTAGCTTCTATACAACTGAACAACAAGCAAGGTAGCTCTATATCACAACACATTAAATCTGACAGTCGTACAGTAGGTTGAATCAACAAAATCTTAAGCAGTCAGCCAGGGTTTAAGGCAAGGACAAGCTACGTACTTAAGTTCCTCCCATTTCCTCTTCTATGCATCTTGACGTTTCACTAAGTAACCATATCAAGGCCAGAGCAGTTGCAGTTAAGGTAGCCTACAAAGTAATAAATGTCAATGAAATTAGGAAGTAAAAGAGCTACACTTGGAAGTTTTTTAACTTGTGATTTATTGGCACGGATCATTCAATTTACAATTATCGTATTTATCATGTTTCATCTGACTATCATAAATGTTCAGTTCTATTGGTTCAGATGGTTTTTAATAGTATTTCCAAGAAGATTAAAACCAATAAAGGGAAAACATATATAGGTTAGATAACTGTCCATAAAATGTAAAAAACATTTATGACCCCCAGAATAAAGGTGAAGTAAATTGAATATAAAATGCTGTTTAAAAAGGAAATTATGAGAACATCTTTGTCCCCAGGCTATGTTGAGGAAGGCCAAGTCCTTGCTCTCTTAAGATCAGGGCGGTCCAAAATGCCCTGAGCTATTATAAGATGAAAATCTGCTAGTGCGCATGCCTCAAGAAGTGACACATACTGTAGAAGCTAGTTCTTCTTGTTTTCCAGCTAAGAATTTGCTTCATTGAAACCATAGGAATAAGGCTTAAGTAACATTGGTGGCCATGTCAAATTGAAAGTGCACCCACTCTAGTAAAATAACATGCTTACAAAATAGTAGACTTTATGATATAGGAAACAAACCTGTTTCATCAACATTTTTAGATATATTTTGTTAATCATCAGTATTTTAAACACCTGTTCCTTAGTTCAGATGTTTCCTATAAGTATTAAATGGTATATTTCATTTTCTTACAAATAAAAGAAATGTAAAAGCAGGGTCTACTTCAGGAAGGATGAAATGCTTTGCACAATGTCTGTCTTTCAAATACTAATACAAGGACCTTTCAAATAACCACCAATGCAATGCATATTCAATTGCACGCAATTACAATGTCGTACTTACAGCACAAGTGTGACATACTAATTTCATGAAGAATGAAATGTCTTTGGTCATCTACACTTCGCCACGTAAACTCACAATTCTTTCCTTCTCCACCTACAGCTCCTTTTTCGAAGCTCTGCCTTCTCATCCCACAACTTCAACTCCTCAACAGCTTGAGCATTACATTACTAACTTCATTTTAAATAGCAAGATCATACAGTCAAAATGTTTCTGCAGACAGTTGCCAAAATGTAAATAATCAAGGGGTTTAAGAACTAGCTAACAGGAAGAACTTACACCAACTCTAAAGCTTGCTAATATTCATTTTGTTACCCTGGCATCCCATGCCAAGAAAATGGTTACTTTTTTTTTTTTTTTTGATAAGTAATCAAAGAAAAAACTTTTAATATAATGTGTGAGGTGTGACTCGAACCTCTGACCTCCCACACAAATTCTAGACTTTTCACCAATTGGACACTTCGCCTGAATTAAAGAAAATGGTTACTCACACATCCTTCTATTCGAACACCACTATTTGATTTGCTTAGCCCTTGTTTGGTACCCAATATTTCCAAAATACATTTTTCTCTCTCTTATTTTCAATCACACATTCTTCAATAAAATAATATTACACGCAAATCTAAAAGTTCTCCTTATTTTTTAACCACGCATTTTCCAACAAATTACTATTCCAAAATGCATTTTGGGCAAAAAATGGGGCTCAAACATGCGCTTAATAATATAATTAATTGTAACATGGCTGCATGGTCCTTGTTCTTGTAACACTGGTAGTCTGGTTCACTGAGGTTTTCACAAACCATTAAATCAGACACCAGGCAACATCAAGGAAACAGAAGTGAGTAATAACACTACTACACAGTACCAATGCTATGGCATATAGCTATCTTGAAGTAGAAAATCAAGCAAAGTACAAATGCAAAAAGAAGAAACTGAAAAGAAAAATAAAGTAAAATTAAACCAAGAACTACAGTGCAAACATTAACCACGAACTACTACTTTTACCCCAAGTCCGTAAAAACTAGCTGAAAGACATCAGTTGATTTCTGCTTCATAGAAACAAAATTCAAAATGAACAACTTGAATCATAAGCATCTTTTTCATAATCATAATTCAAAAAGTTTCATGTTCCACGTGGAAAAACAAGCAGAAGTATTGAAATTTAACTATCATAATGCAAAACATAAGAAGCTCAGGAAATTTTGCCTTCAACTCTTAAAATGTATGGCTAACATAGAGCACAAGAAAAAGATGAGAACACGCATGTAGTAGAGAATATGTCAAAAGGAAAATGATAGAACTTTTAAGAAATTTCTCCACATTATGAGTTTGTACTTCATTTCAAGTGAACAAACTAAATTCATCCAGATACAAAAGAAACATTTCACCAAACTTGGTGTATTCAATTTCTATACCACCTCATCTATTCACATAACAAGTCTTCCAGCACACGCACCATACAATATATGGACCAAAACCATTAGAGTACTAGATCTGTGCTTCAAAAACTCCCTTCTATACCAACATATAAGACTATGATAACTAGAGTCTACAACAAGAACACACGCAAGACACACTGAGAAAAAGATGGACCCAACATATACGTTCAAGGGAAACAAAGACTCTTCCTAAGACCGTGTGATCATGCTACGAGAACGAGCCAACCGTAGTGTCAAGCTGCCTCCGTCCTGTGTTGCCTCTCCATCAACAGTTTCAGAGTCATACTGCTTCCTGCAACCTGGACAACGGCCATCCTCCTCAAGAATCCTCTTGTGACAGAAAAGGCAGAGCCGGAAGCCACATGAACAAGGGAGAAAACTGGAGTCCGTGAAGTCAAAATCCTCATAGCATATTGGGCACGATGTAGGGACGGGCACAACATTCTTACATGCCCAAACAGAGCCTCCACAATCAAGATGTCTCCCTGAATTCATTGGAAAACTATACTGCTTTGATAAGTTGGGAAGGGTTTGAGGACGACAGGCATCATCAGGCCTCCATGCCTGGCAACTTACCAGAACCCCTTCTGCAGCCATTCCCCGATTATCTGGCTTCGGCTTTGAAATATCGAGCGCAAAACCTGACTGGTTTCTTACCTTCGATTGAGAATCTGACTGGGAAGCATTTAAATCTTTCTCTGAAGGCAACAAATCCAATCCTGATTCGGTGTTTTGTTGTCGCTGCTTGTCATCGGTTGCAGCCAAGGCATCAGCCACAGCCTCCCAATCATCCAAGCAGCTATCATCATCCCCTTCATCTTCCTCACTCATACTTCCAGAACAACATCCATTGCTACTAGCACTACTGCTTCGACTGCTGCTCCCAGTAAAATTGGTTCTGGAATCACTATTGCCCAAGACACTACTGGTGTGGCTGGTGGATGGCGATGACTCAGAATCACTGTAATGATGCAGTTGTGATCCATCTCCATAATTCTCCTGCACATCTCTTGGCTTAATCTCCAATTTCTCTATGGCTAGTACGCTCTTGTTCTCCAATTTCACTGATGATCCTCCATGTATCCCTCCACCATTTGATTCCTCCTTACAGTTACCCTTATTCTTCACTGTATAAGTAAAGATGAGTATGTACACATACGGCGAGAATGCATGTTACAGAACACAGATCTTTGACTAACCTTGAGAAAGCCACTGCTCGCGGCGAGCATCAAGCTTGCACTGCTTCAATTTGGCTGACCGATTCGCCTAAAATTCCCAAAAAAAAAAAAAAATTATTAAGAAATTATATACACTCATACATTAAAAATCAGCAAATTCCACTCAATTACCCAGAAAATTAACAAAGAAAAAATCTGGAAATTGATAGAAGGGAAAATCAACTTCAACCAAAAGCATTGAGAATCAATACTACATTCAAGAATATAAAAAATTGAAACTGTCGAAATTTATACAAGTCTAAATTAAAAATCTTGAAAATTTATACAAGTATAAATAAAAATCTGGAAATTTATGGAAGTGCACAATTTAAAAAGAAAACAAACGCATACACAATATATGTTCATAAACATAAAAAAATCAAGAAACGTATAAATACCTTCTTTTTCTTGGCGAAATCTTTGGGGTTAGAGGAGGCCATGTGGATGGAAGCATTGGCGATCGAATCGGAAATCATGACTGCCTGAAGTCGAAACAAATTGAAAAACCCTAATTTGATAGTCGATATATTTTGAGAGAGCGATAGATATAGAAAGAGAATGTGTTTAGGGAGAGAGTGGGTGACGAAAACTTCTCTGCTTCGTTCGCTCGACGCCTTTCTCTTTGGACTACACTAAAAGCGTGTTTCACTACCACCGGGCAATATATAGAGGAATCAGTGACCATTTTGCCCTTCTATTTCGTTATTTTCCGTTTAGGTGTGTATGGGAGGGACGCAAATACTTGGTACTCGAGGGGTAATGTCCGCGAGGTGAAATCTTCACCGAAGGAGATATTGCAAGACGAAGGACAAATATGTGACTGAAAAATTGCAACAATTATTCCTCATCTATGGAAGAAGTTGCAATGTCATCTTCAAACTTTTTTTCTTATTGCAATATATTCCAAACTTAATATTTTACCGTTTAGGTGCATTGATCGTTCTTTCTGTTGAATTATGTGCACTGAATTCCAGATTTGCAGCTAGTAGTTTAGGATTTTTGATTGTTCTATCAAAATCCGTAAACTCCATGCATTTTCAATTCTTTATCTCAAAACAACACCAAGTTTTTCAAACCTTTGCAATTGGTTTTGAAACTACAACATGAGTTTGTTATTTACATTACAATTACACACTGCCTGGCACCTACCAATTATCTCTATGTTGGTTGGTCGTGTAGTGATTCACCATCGCTAATTGTTGGTGATTTATGTTGTCAACGAACTTTGTTGGCAATACCAACAACTACCACGCGTTTCAGGTAGTTGTTTGTCTCCAATCCTCGATATTTCCTATTTCGCTTGTGCTTGGTCTTCTTCGTTATGTTTCCATTTTCTCACCCCTCTGAAATCCCAAATAACCGTTCAGGATGGATGGATAGCAATTTTGTTATTTCTTTCGTTGTTTTTATCATAATTAAAATAGGAGTGTAATCGTCTTTTCAATACACCTTGATTTTCTAACGAGAATATTAACTAAACTAGATTGTTACGAACTTGGAAAGTTAACTACATTAATACTACAAAACAAAACTTTGAGTCTCTTTTGCACAAATTTAATAGAAGCAACCGGGAGTTATGGACTGCAAATCGCTCAAGCTGCTCAAAATCAATCAACTATTTTCATTTTAAAGCGATAAACACTTAGAAGATTTGAAAAACCACACAGCAAAACCCATCCAGAGAAAGAAATCAATGGCTGGTATTACTGCTACCACTGGTCTCAATGTATCATGTTCGTCGAAATTGACTGGGATAAGGTCGTCATCTTCTCATCTTTCTTCTACAGCCAAAATTGATTCCGGCCAAAAAAACATCAACCGAGGTTTTAGAGGAATTAAGAATCATAAATCTACAGCTTTTTGTTGTTTAAGATTCCCAATTTCATAAGTCGCAATCCCTTCGAGCTCCGGGCATGAAATTCTCTAAATTTTACCTTCAATTTCACATTCTATAACAGAATTTATAGAAAATTTGGTGTTGATGGATTTGGATCCGGCTACAGCCAAACTAGCAATTGGGATTTTGGGGCCATTTCTGTCTGCAGTTGGGTTTCTATTGATATCGAGAATAGTGATGTCCTAGGACCCTAAACTTCCAGTGGAAAAATTCCCGTAAGTGATTGCATATGCACCACCAACAGAGCCATTTCTAGTTCAAACTCGGAAGGTGGTTCCTCCCATTGGCGCTGTTGATGTTACTCGTGTGGTCTGGTTTGGATTAATCAGTTCCTCAATGAAATTCTTGTTTGCCCTTAGGGTTTGCTTGTTCTTTTATCTCAACAGGTTTAGTTGTGTTGTGTGTACAACTATGCAATGAAATTTGCCGTTTTGTGTCAGATTTTTGTTATAGGGCAAAGCATATATATTCTTGGGATTATAATCACACATCAATGGTATTGTGAAAATCGGATGATACTGGATTAATCCAATATCAAATTATTGGAGAAAATATGATATTAAGCCCCAATACGCAGTAATTGATCGCAAAAACACAGGAATAAAATAATTTGTAAAGAGTAAAGATTTTATTATAATATGGAGAAAGAATAAAAATATTTTTTGTTTATGATTTATCTAACTTAATCAATATCACAATGAAGTGCAACTATATATAGGAGACGTCAAACCACTCATAGAGTAGAGTTGTAGATGAATTAGAATGCTAAAAAACGGAGTCCAAAATTGTCATGGCTCCTAGCGCTGCAGCGCCCACTCTCGGATTCTTTACTCCAAAAATCCTAATTTTCTTCATCACAATGTCTTCTTCATGTCAACGTAAACTCCTACTTTCCATGGGTTTTCAAGTAGAATTTCAATTAGAATTCATTAAGTAAACTTGAATAAAATTCAACAATAGCATTTTAAAATAGAATTCTTCTTAATGTGCATTTTGATTAAAACTCTCAATTATCTTCAAAAAAAAATTCTGGTCATATCCAAATTCTAACAATGTCTACATTGACACAAATTATACTGCAACAACACTTAAAATTTCTTCACCTACAGACAAATTCCATTGTGAGGAATAAACTTGAACTCTTCAATGAAAAACCACAAACAAGCTTCTCCATAATCAATTTCGACTGGAAATATTCTCTACCTCTACTATCCCCATTAGGGATAAAAGTGATCTAATGACCACCAAACAAGGCTGAAACAAGCTCTGTAATAGATTTACAACTAAATGCATCAAAAAAAGGATCTTGGCTAGAATCAACATCCTTAACCGCATTTAAACCATCAACAAAATAAACAGAATTGTGCCTATGTAGAACCTTATAGCAAAAAATGTGCCTATTTCTTGTAATTGAATACGATGACACTATCGATAATTGTAGCTAGAAGGAATTAAACATATCTTCAAAATTCAATTAAGATATATTCTTAAAAGAAGATCCCAAATTAGACTCCAAGGGTACAGAGCCAACTCTAAATCCACCCAAATTCTTAAAATATGCTGATTACTAGAAGATTTTGTATCACCATGCAAAATATATAAATGGACTCTTATTTGTCCCATTAGTACAATATAGACTCCTTTGATAACTTTAAGAACTTCACATTCAATAGTATACATGTACCCTTTTAAATCAAGAGCACTTAAGGAGTTAATATTTTTCTTCAAATTTGGAACGTGTCTTGCTGCATCAAGTATTAGAAACATCCCATCAAACATCCTTATTCTGACCTAACCAACACCAGCTATCCGACAAGATGTGTTATTACCAATCATCACAACACCTTTTAAGACTTCTTTATATGTTGAAAACAATTCTCAATTCGGTGACATATGTGAAAAGTGCATGCTGTATCCAAAATTCAACCTTCACAAGGTTTGGAGTTGTAATCAGACGTAAGTGGAAGTTCTCTATCACTGCTAGGATTTTCTACAATACTTGCTTCTCCTGAAATTTATGATTGTTGATTTGCAATTGACTTTGATTTATTCTACAATCGTTTACCAAGTGCCTTTTTTCTTACAATAATTACAAAGTTTGAAGTTAGATTTTAACTTGCTCCTCAAACGACCACCATGAACAATGAGACCATCTTTATGATTATCAGCTACTACAAAATGCTTTATCTTTTCCTTTGAATATTGAGCATTGTAGACTTTTTCGATGGTGAGAGTATCACAACTATATAATATCACGTCTCTAAAAGACATGTATGAGGTTGGCAATAAACACAACAAAATCAATCTCAAGTCTTCTTCATCATATTTGACCTCCAAAGTTTTCAAATTAGCGATAATTTCTTTAAAAGCAGTTAGGTAATCTTTAAGAGATATACCTTCTGTCATACGATGAGAATATATTTGTTGCTTTAGATGCAATTTTCTAGTAAGACTCTTCGTAATTCATAATTGCTCTAATTTTAATCATAAAGCAGCGGCTGACTTCTTTTTCAAAACGTCTTGAAGAATATTATTTGAAAGATGAAAATGTATTTTTACTAGGGACTTATGATCTCTTCGTTATTTCTCCTCTATGGTCTAGTTGTGTGCATAGTGTCAAATCCCAACAACTAGTCGTCCAAATCCATTTGAGGGAGTACTGCTCGTGTCTTTACCTGCCATAAAGAGAATCTTGTATTACAATCAAATTGCGGAATATCATACTTCATTGTTGTCATTGTCATCACAAAAAAAAAAAACCTCAATCTTCCCAAGAATTTCAATACCAAAAGATCTGATACCAATTATTGTGAAAAGTAGATGATACTATATCAATCCAATACCAAGTTATTGGAAAAAACATAAGATTAAGCCACAATATAAAGTAATGGATCACAAAAACACAAGAATAAAATAATTTACAGAGAATTGAGATTCTATTATAATATGGAGAAAAAATACAACGATTTTGTGTTTATGGTTTATCTAACTTCTTGTAACATAATCAAAATCATAATGATGAGCTAACTATATATAAAAAAACAAGTAGGGAACATTCAAACCCTTATAGTAGAGTTGTAGATAAAGTATAATGCTAAAAAAAAAGAGTCCAAAACGAAAAAGGAGATCAAAACAGCTCAGAGAGACAGAGTAGGTAGTGAGAAAAAATATTCGACCTTGAATCTTGATGTTGCAAATATGCATCATAATGTATCAGTGTATCAACTCTACGTGTAAATTATATGAAAGTATATAAGATGACTTACTGGGCCGGTGTAGTCGAGGAGACAAGTACAATACACCTTGGTCTTCTGAAATCTATTCATAGATTTACAATGTTAAGTAAGAAACTTTGAAAGCACCAACGGTGTTTGGTCCTTTTAAACATAAGCATCCATCATCCTTAATGTAATAAAACGCGGCCTCTTCATTACGACCAAGTTCACAATGCAGTTTTGCCAGATGAAGTACAGCAATTACTTCCCTGTCATTACAATTTGTTGCCCTTTTGTAACATTTGATCACTTCCTTGAGCATGTGAAGTTGTTCATTTTCATAACGAGCCATGGCAATCCATAACCGAGAATCATTAAAAGGCATTTCCATCATTTCATATGCTGGTCCTAACCCACACCAAGCTTGACGATCACATGGATTTATACCTACAGGACACGTTCTTCATCTCCATGTACTTATGAGCCACAAGGTTCCCAACTGATAAAAAAAATGAAAATTATTCAATTTCAGTGCCCTCTTGAAATACGTCTTTTCGTATTGCCCCTTCAAACTGTAATAGTTTCCAACAACGCAACAAGACTCAGGTCTGTACTTATTAGTCAAAAATAACTTGTGCAATATAGCTTAAGGTAGAAAAGCACTCCTTTGCATAGAGGACATTGGAATATCAGATCGGATTATCGGATCGGATATCCGATAACATAGCAAATCGAATATGGATTTAACAATCAAATATCCGTTGGATTATCGGATTAGATAATTTTCTTATCGGATCGAATCGGATATAGACAGATCCGATCCATTTATAGGCCTAGTTCATTTCATGGACGGATGTTGATGGCATGACAAGATTGGAATAAAGAATAGTTGGGCGATCCAGTTGGAAGAGATTAAAGATGAACGACCAATTTACACTGCTAACAAAGTTCGGTGATCAATTTTATTTATTTTTTACTTTTATTTTTATTTTTCATTTGAAGTATTAAAACCATCAGGTATACCGTAGACGGGTCAAAATGTTGAGCCTGCGAGAAAATATTTCCAAAATCGCCGTCCCCTTCCTCGGAGCTCATCCAAAACCGTCCTCCCTCCACCACTCCACTACCTCTCCTCCGCCGTATACTGATCCCACCATTATCGCCAAATTAATCCTCGAAACAGACAATCCAGAAACTTTAACCCGAAACTTCCACACCCTTGCCAATTGGACTCCCCATTTAGTCCACAACGTTCTCAAACGCCTCTGGAACCACGGCCCCAAAGCCCTCCATTTCTTCAACATATTAGACACTCACCCTTTCTACGCGCACTCCGCTACTGGTTTCGACCACGCCATTGACATCGCGGCTCGACTGCGAGACTACAAGACCGTCTGGGCTCTCGTGGCCCGTATGAGATCCCGGAAACTTGGCCCGTCACCGAAAACATTTGCGATTATTGCCGAAAGATATGTCTCTTCCGGGAAGGCTGATAAGGCAGTTAAAGTATTTTTATCCATGCACGAACATGGTTGCTCACAGAATTTGAATTCATTCAATGCATTTCTTGATGTTTTATGCAAATCAAAACGAGCTGAGATGGCTTATAAACTGTTCAATATTTTTCGGGGTAGATTTAGAGCTGACACAATTAGTTATAATATAATTGCTAATGGGTTTTGCTTGAAGAAGCAAACACCAAGAGCATTGGAAATTTTGAAGGAAATGGTAGAGAGAGGTCTCGTACCAACCCTAACGACGTATAACATAATGCTTAAAGGTTATTTTAGAGCGGGGCAAATAAAAGAAGCATGGGAGTTTTTCTTGCAAATGAAGAGGAGAAAGGTTGGAATTGATGTCGTGACTTATACTACAGTGGTTCACGGGCTTGGTGTCGTTGGGGAGGTTGTGAAGGCTCGGAAAGTGTTTGATGAGATGATTGGAGCCGGAGTGCTCCCCTCAGTGGCAACTTTCAATGCCTTGATTCAAGTTTTGTGTAAGAAAGATAATGTGGAAAATGCCGTCTTAGTGTTTGAAGAAATGCTGAGGAAGGGTTACACGCCAAATGTGACTACGTATAATGTGGTTATTAGAGGATTGTGTCATGCAGGGAATATGGATAGGGCGATTGAATATATGGATAAAATGAAAGATGACAACTGTAAGCCAATTGTTCAAACATATAATGTTGTCATTAGGTACTATTGCGATGATGGAGAAATTGAGAAGGCTTTGGAGGTGTTTGAGAGGATGACTGGTGGGAGTTGTTTGCCCAACTTGGATACTTACAATATCTTGATCAGTGCGATGTTCGTGAGGAAACGATCAGATGACTTGTCGGTTGCTGGTAAGTTGTTGATAGAAATGGTTGACAGAGGATTCTTGCCTCGGAAATTTACCTTCAATCGGGTTCTAAATGGACTTCTGCTAACCGGTAATCAAGGCTTTGCAAAAGAGATTTTGAGTCTACAGAGTAGATGTGGCCGTCTTCCTCGTCATTTTAAATTGTGAAGCCCATTGACAACCATTTTAACTGGAAGCACAAGAAGTTGGCTTTCTGCATTGGTTTGATCTATAATCTCACATTCTTGCATTTATTTGTGGTGATACCAATATGAAAGCTATGAGCATCGTATACGGGGATTTAAAATAGATTGTGTTTGCTATCAAGATAAGGTTTTTGAGGTGGCGGCTTGTGGCTGTCTACACCTGATCTAATGGTGTTCTTACTATGCTGTTTTGATCAAGGAGCTCGGAGTTTGGGTGGTAAGCTCGACATTGTTAAAAACATCAAGAGTGACTATTTCTTCTTGTCATGTGAGCCATTAAGGTACCTCCATGTTGCGGGATGCCGTTGGCTACAAATGAAAGAAGCTAAAGCTGTGAATTCAGACAATAAACAGGTGTAATAATTTTGATGTGATCCTACATTCCTACTAGTTTCTTTGCATACTGCATTATTACAGTTGCCATACAATAATTTTCCAGATCCATCTCACAATATGATAAAATAGCCAAAGACATATATAGACTCCTTTTTTCTCAAACGCCTTTCAAATCATAGAGTTATGTTTCTAAGTTTATGTAATTGAATGTAAACCAGTTTGTATTAATGTTTTTTTGGTTTGCTGCAGTTGCCCTTTCCATTTTGTTTTTCTCTCTCTTTTATGCAGGCAGTTCACTGAACTATCAGGCGGTTAAAGTCAAGTTCAAAATTTTATCAAGTGCAATTGGTCTTTTTCAACATGTTCGTGGCACTTGAGGACCTACCTAGCCAGGTGGCAAAAGAAAGTCAAGAAGGTGACCATGTTGAAGTACAAGTGGAGAGCCTCAGCATGGCCAAAGAGGTCAGACTGGGTTGTTCTGGTCAAGCTCATGCAACCCAAGGTAAAGAGGCATTGAGCCAAACAACTAGAAGCAGATCTAGAGAGGACGATGCTCATGAGAAGTTGACCTAATAAGGCACTTGACAACAGATTGAAAAGCTCAACCCTGCCTCACAAGGCAAAGAGCTCGGTCCAGCCAGAGGAATACCGTCTAGGCACCAGTGTGGCCAAGTCTGTCTATAGAAGCAACCAACTTGGCAGATCCAACAAAATCCATGAAGATGTTAGCTAGGCAAAAATAGACAACAGTAATGTAATACAAAAACATAAGCAAGACTTGTGTTGTTAGAACATACGGGGGAAAACTGCCTTCTCTGGATTGAATAGATAAATGATATGCAAGAATATGACACATATACACGAAAATGATGTTGAGCTTGTAGCGGTGATGTGAGTGTAACTCGGACAATATTGTGGTATTACAGTATGATTTCCTCTTGAACACTGACATTAAGAGTCTTGTTTGGAAGGACAATGCTGTTGATCACAACCACTTCATCTTCAACCGTCACGGATTCACCTGGTTAGAAAATTATATAGATAGCTTACCGCATTACGGAGAAAGAGCGAGAGAAAATTCAGCAGATTTAAGAGAAAAAACATACCAAGAATTGTAACCCCAAGCTTTGCATTATAATCTCCTGCAGCCTGAAATAAGCTGAGAAAGCTTAGGGAAACATATTGCATAAAACTGAGAAGGGTTTAATACACTGATGGTCGCTAAACCTTTAACGAAGTTTCCTATTGGTCATCAGCTTCATTTTGTTTCAAGTTGGTTATTGAACTTAAAATTTAATACAAGTTCATCACTCCATCAATGTTTATTAGTTCGATTACAGTCTATCTACTTATTTGCCAAACTATGATGTCAGCTTTTCCGTAAGTCAGTAAGTCAAATTGAAGGACATGGATCGAATGACCAAATTGTAATAAACATTTAAGTGACTGATTTGAATCATCAAAAGGCTCTGCCCCTCGTCATCTTTCGGAGTTATTGAACAGAGCCAATTTATAGAAAGTGTTTGATGATAATTGCTCACACAGAAAATAAGTCCGCTGAGAAAAACCCGTCGGCCTACCTGAACTCGAGACCACCTTCCAATAGAGGACTTCCATCCAACAATTGCATGAATTACAACCGCATTTTCCTTTACAAAAATGAGCATGGATGTTAGCTGTTAACTTTTATATAATGTATCTATATAATTATTCAGGTCATTAGTACCTTGATTTCGACATCATCAAGAATGATGCAACTGACGAGCCTCACACCAGCTCCTATACGAGCATTGACAGAAATTGAAACGTTGGGACCAATCTGGTAAACATTCTTAGAAAAGAAGTCAGCAATATAGAAGAAACAGATAAAAAAAAATGCTACAAAAACACACTAATTATCAAAAATGTTGACCGATAAGAATACTCGATGAAGTGATGGCAGCAGATTACCTTGGCTGTTGGACGAACCTTTGCAGATGGATGAATATATACATCGCCAGAAATGGTGGCGTTCTTGGTCCCATCACCACTTGCCAAGAGATGGGGTGAGGTGAATCTGAACTGGGCAAGATACAAGGCAGAACATTTCAAAGACATTCTGCAAAATATAAAGTACGCAGTCAGATGAAATTGCTATCGACACATTAGATATCAGAGGAAGGAGTATTCACGATATTTTTGGCTCACCCAGGAGTTTTTATTTGTTCCCAGAAATCCATGGTTTCGTATACATATAACTGTTTTTTCCCTGCAAGTGGCGATAGAATATCTTGATCCAATCGTACAAAACCTGATGGAGAACTCCTGGCAATGAATTTATATCAGGAATAGAAGTTGACGAATGTCAAAAAGTACGTCGAAATTAAAATCTGTGAGATTGTAGATAATCCTAAATTCAGATTATAAAGAAAGCGAGGCATCAACAGACATTTTTCCCAATTCTATTTAGGCAGTTGCATAGTTCAAATATTACCTGTTTGGTGGCTGAAGGGCTTCAAAACTGGACAAACGCCTTAGGGTAGCTGCAAATAACAAAACAATACATTTAAGCACTATGATAAGCCTTCTAGACCATGGTTGGTACTTAGAACTAGACAGAACTATGTATTAAATTGAACAAGAATTAAACTTTTTTTTTTCCAAACATAAATAAAATAGAAAATCAATGGACCACAGATTTTTCCCAACTATCCAAGCAAGAACAAAATCCTCGACTGCTATAATAGAGCAACAAAGGATATAACTAACCTCTATCTTTTCGTTGTGTGGATACACCTTGAATAGCAGTAAAGATATCTGGAGTAAAAATGTATGCGCCACAATTTATACGGTCACTCACCTGTTATTACAGAAATAGAGAGGGAAAAAAGTATGACTAAGCACCAATCTTATCCATCATAAAGCAATAACAAAATCAAATATTGCTGAATCTAAGAAGTTCATACATACAAAAGTTTCAGGCTTCTCCGTATAGTGCAGAAGTTCATTAGTAACAGGGTCCGATACTAGTTCCCCGAACTGGTTTGCTGACTCGGGGGATACCCGCATACATAGTAATATGGAAATCAAACCATAATACGTGGAGGAAAATGACGATCGACTTGAATTGCGCCTCAGGATAAAAATATAGCTAACAACCTTGATAACCAAAATTGTTCCCATTCCTCCATATCTTCTGTGAGCCTCTGCAAAAAGAAGGCAACCAGAAAGTTAATCCTCTGAAAGTATCAGTAGAGTTACAAGAGACAGAGATCATTGAATCTCAGGTCATATAGTTGGGAGAACTGTAACAGTAATAGAAAAGAAAAAGAAAAGCTTATTGTATCGTCGAGTGCAGTTCAGTACTACATAACAAACATCTCCTGAAGGCTCAAGCAAGGTAATGTGGGAAACAAAGAGACAAATACCTAACATCTCAGGCAGTGGAAAACTGCAACAAACATCACAATTCAGCAAAACAACGTGTGACTGCCAGGTAAAACATAGAGGCGAGTTAAAAGGAATGCCAAAAAACATTAAGAACGGGTCTTCATATAGCATTTAATACGAAAATCGTAAAAAATAGAAACCGGATTGTCCTCCATGATCAAATCCCTGAAGTTATAAAGTCCACCAGCTGATCCGTGTGGCTTGTCCTCTCTCACGTATCTAAAACGCGAAAGTTCAGCAAGAACAATGATAAGTCTCAATATTCCACAGCTTTAAGTACGAGTTCTAGAAAGAGGCAAAACATCCAAATGCACCAAAATTACCTGACAGGAACTCTAAGCTCGTTAGAAATTGAAGAGACGTATAGTGCAAATTCACGCTCCTCATAGAAACCAACAAGGTATATCTGTACTAGATTTGGGATCTAAGAAGAGGAACACAAGGCACTCAGTTACACAGCTATACAAAATCCCTACAGTACTGTCAATTTTCATTTTTATCAACTCAAAATTTCTTCATTAGAAGTGCAACTTCAACTTCTAATAGCATCTGATCTAAAACTATACTACAATACTCTAAGCCTTTTTTCCGAATAAAATTGGGTCAGCTGTAAACTATATACATGCCAGTGAATCAAAATCATCCAATTTTTTTGCTATCATTGACATAAATTCAATGAAATTTCATACCCTTTTACAAGCAGATATTGGATGATGAACCATGGGCTGCCCTGCTAATGGAAAAAGTGGCTTTGGAATATTCAATGACAATGGCCTAAATCTAGTACCTGCACCTCAAAAATCTTAATGTGACCAAAATTCCTTAATTTTTTGTACAGAAATAGTAATATCAAGAAAAGGGTCTTCTTATGCAATCCCAAAAATCCAAAAAATTTAATAAGAACCAAATTATTCCCAGTAATTACAATCAATTGAATCAAAGAACTCATTATTTCCTCTAAAAGTAATCAAATTCTAATCAATACCCTAATGGAATCATACTTATTAAACTTAATTACTTAAAGATCAAAGAAAAAATAATAATAAAAATTAAAATCATACCTTTTGTGGGTCCACCAACCATGATCACAGCAACAACTCTTTCTTCTGAGCTTCCCATTTTCTCCACCAATACAAAGCAATTCCCAGATCTCAAAATCCTGTGTAGCTTTCTAGTTATTGAAAACGGCTCCAAATTCTACAGTGGTTGTATCTTCTTCAACATTATAAATAAACACAGCATGCACATGCACAATAATATATATGTGTCAGTGTGTGTAATATTATAAAGATAAGAGCTATAGATAGAGATAAAGGTAGATAGTTAATTGATAGATACAAAGAGTGTGTGAGAGAGAGAATGTGAATTGTGACTTGATTCAGAATATGGAAGAGATCCAAATGGAATAGCTGTCGGTGGGGGGCAATGGACATGAATTCCAATGTAGATTGAAAGTTGATAAAAATTTTAACTTAAAATTAGTAATTAATCTTAACTACACATTCCCTGAATTCGCAATTTTTAAATTATATATTTCATCAATTTTATCAAATTTTAATTTTAATCTCCAATAAAAGGGGCTATATTATAAGTGATTTTTTGGATTTTTTTTCTTGTCACAAAATAAATTACTTATTTTGGTGATATGATAGGTAATGTTTAAATAAGTTCTTTATTTTAAATAGAGTGATTAATTGGGAAACTTAATAGACCAATTTTTTTTTCAAATGTATTCAACAAATGATCGCATTCGTTAAATTAAATTAACCGAGGAGGATTTATTCCCCTGAAATCAACTCCGCTAACTTGAAATTCAAAGGGGATTTCTTCCCCTTGGTTCATCGGCACCTCCCCCTCTATTAAGGAGGCGGTAGCGGAGTGGTGTTGGCAGTGATGACGGTGGGGAGTAAAGAAGATAATTATTTTTTAAAGTTTTTATATTGTTAAAATAATTTGATTTTAAGTATTAATAAGATCGTTTGTTAAATACCTTTGCCAAAAAAGTGTTCCAATGAACGCTCTCGACTATATTCACACCAAAGTTTTTACAACTTGTGGAATTTGAATATTTCATAATTTTGATTCTTCACTATTATAATTTATAATTGAGAGAAATGCAATTAGTTATTTATAATTAGGCATTAGGAGCGATAACTCTACAAAGGCAATGTATACATCTATTGTTTTCATTTCAAGTTAAATAAAATTATGAGTAACTAATTCGAATAGAAAAGTTGATATGACGAGACAACGAAGGTATATTAACCTAATGTGTTTGATTGACATGTAAAATATATTTTAGAAAAGAAAATATTTTTCTTATTTTGAGAAAAACAAAAACTTACTCTTCCAAAGAAAATGTTTTCCTTAAAAATAAGGAAAATTAGACATATTTTTAAAAGTTGAAAAATATTTTCAATGAAAAAAAATAACAATGAAACAATTCAAAATATGAATTTAGGTGAAAAACTGATATTTTTAATGAAAAATAAATATAATCAAACACGATATTTAATTAAATGACATTTTATGTGGTTGGGGAAAAAGTCAAAGGGGTTAATTCTGATTAATTTTCCTTGTACTGGATATACTAATTGGCAGGGGCAAATTGGTCATTGTGCAGAAAGTCTTCAATCAATTTAGGTGGGAATTAGCAAATTGAGGCTAATCAAAACCCTAGTTCACTATTGATCAATGCCAAATTGAAGGGTGCACCAAATGAGGTTTTCCCTACCTATTTAATTTGTTTCTAACCTTTTTTTTTTATTTGATTTTATAACAATTAATTTCTCTACGGACTTCGCAAAAAGCTGGCTCGGGCTGGGGTCATCGTAGTAGAATGGAAGGGACGACCCTAATCTTATATGTTTAAAAAAACAAAATAATTATCAAAACTTATTAAACGAAAAGACAATTGAAGCCTTAAAACATGAGCTTTTGTCAATACACTGTCACGTTACATCATCAGAAATTTTAATAATCCAAAACATTAAAAAATGAACAAACTCCCAACTCAAAAATTTTGTTGGTCCATTAATGGTAGCTTTGAATAGAAATAATGGCTTGGGCTCCACCTTGAATATATACAAAAATGCAATCTGAACCAGGATTCAATACTTTGAGCCATTGAGGGAGTTCATAAATATTCTTCTGCTGAGTTGGAGAGAGACCCCATACAGATCCTGTTAGGTTTTCAATGTGCAATTTCAGATCTGTTATTGGCTTTTGGGACTTGTTCTTGATGACCACTTGGTGCCTGTAATAGGTTTCTTTACCAACAGTCCATGTACTGGTTATTGAGTGTTGGAATTCAACTGGTGTTTCTGCAAAAAAATAATAATAATATTGATTATTAGTTTTTTGTATACGCTATTGTATTTCTCGGTCGTCATTAGTCCTATTTAGTCTAGCGTACAAAACATGTCATGTTAAGTTATTTTCGAAGAATTTATTTGCAAAAATCTAACCTGATAGGGGTTTTGGTGCCGGCATGTATTTTGGAGATGGACCTGCAGTTAAACTTTTATATGAGATGCATTCTAAGATACCGTGAGAAGTATAGAGTTGAATATTTTGTAATAACCTTGTGGTGGTTTGTCGTAAGGTTTTGGTGATCCTTGATGGTAACCTGCAAAATGAGGCCAACCAAGATCTTGTCAGAAAAAATGTAAACTAGTTTGGTGTATCCAAGATTAAAAAAACTGAAGGATTAAGAAAATGAAACATAGGAAATGTTTGTCGCGTGTCGTGTCGTGTGTACTAAACAACAAAGTGACAATGTCTTTACCTGAATTTCCTGAAACAACCTGCAATTTGCAGAACAACCCTACAAGAGGAGCTGTACCCGATATCGTTGGCTCAGTCTGTTCATAATTTGATCGATCATCAAAAAATTCATCTTTATCATTTGGACCACCCACCAAGGCTCCGTGTAGAACATTTGGGTTCGCTTCAACCCGTTTGTACCAACTCTCAAATCCTTCCACACATCCAACTACAGAGTGGAGAACTGATATGGAGGCAATGGAAGAACCTCTGTGGTGTGCATGAATGGGGTAGTTTTGTCCATATCCCACTAAGTAGCTTAATGATCTAGGGTTTTTGCCTAGAATGTAATCAGCCTGCAAAAGTGGTTCCGTTAGACTAGTTCCGTAAGACGTACTATAGAGTAATAGACATTATTAAAGAAAAAACGTATGGACCTCTAAACACCACCCAGTTAAGGTTTAATTGTCTCGTCACGATACAATTTTGAATAGCATTAAGGAAACAGAATGAATGTGTTCCCAACGTTTGACTGGTTTTCAATACTTTTACAACAAAGACAACTAAACCTTACTCCTAGTAAATATATAACAAAATAAATATCATAAATACCTGTGATTTAGCAAAATTGAGGAGATCTTGAGGTAGGACTTGAGCCTCAGGACACTTTATTACACCATTTGCCTTAGCAAGATAATCAGAGTAGACTGCCATAAGAAATGCGGCTGATGCTGCATATTGCATATTGTTCCATTCACGTACATATAGTAGACCCCCTAAACAAAATCGTCAATTTAAATAAATCAATAAAAAAAAATCATTAAAAACTGAAAAAATTCAGACTAAATAGAAATGTACAAACCAGGAGTCATAGCCACATTGTAGCCGTCATTCTTTTGTAGACAGGCACATGTAAAATAATCTGCTTTTGCCTGATATTGTTTTAGGGTTGAAGTGTATGCTCCTCCAGCTCCATCCAGCAAAACCTACATCGAACATCAATATGGTAACCTTTTCTTAGTTGGTCGTGTCTGGTGTGTAGTATTAGACGAGACTAGACACTATCATGGACAAAACTGAGTTCGATTATAGTGGAGAACACACGAAAACTTTCTGATCAAATAGCGTAACAACTTTAAAATCAAATGTAAATTTATTAATAACAAGACTTTAGTGTTGTTGTATACCTTTGTGAGGAGAATTTGAACTCCGGCATATTTATTATCCCAAGAAAATTCTCTGACTGCCCATCCAGTTCCACCCAATGAAACTGCATTATCCACTACATATTTCAGATAGTACTCTTCATTTGTTGCTCTATAGAGCCATGCAGCAGCCCATAAAAGTTCATCCTACAACAATAAAATTGTTTGAAAAACTTAAGTAAAAATAAAATAAAATTAATTAATTAATACTGTGAGAAATAATTTATGTTATTAATTGGGAAAATGATGAACTTACTGAATAACCAGATGATGTGTAGAATTTAGCAGCAGATGGGATGGCATCATCATAAAAGCCCCTGAATCTGTTTGCAAATGAGAAAATCTGGAAAAGCAAAAAAATTAATGTTACAAAATCGTGATCATTCTCTTTGTAAGTGTCGAAACAGGCCCGGCCACGTCTCTGAAATGGCCCGGCTGGGTACCCCAGACCGGTCACGCCTTTTAAGTTAATTTACCTCTTCGTTTTGACACCACCAATTCTCTAAATACGAACCAAATCAGGAATAAGATATTTAACTTTTGGTAATACTTTTACCTGTTTTGCATGGACTAATAGAAGACCAGAGTAGGAAGAGTTGTAGGGCTTGAATGCAAGGGAGGCTGCTGCTAGGGCAGCTGCAGTTTCTCCAGCCAGGTCCGACCCGGGATGTTCCGGGTCGAGCTTGTAACCCATTCTTGATGTTGTCATGTCTTCAGCCCTCTCCCAACAATAATGATCCGATTCTCCATCCCCTACCTACATGTGTAAATTGTCATCTCTACCATCATAGTAACTTAATTTCTTGAAGAAATTTGTGCAAGAAATAGTTGAACAAAGTTTGACCTCTTTCTGTATCTATATAATGGAGAAAATTGTACCTGTCCCCAAAGAACATATGGCTGAGTATGTGCTTTGATGAAGTAATCAGTACCCCACTTGATAGCTTCCAAATTGTGTCCCATTTGGTTGAGACTAACCATTTCTTTCCCAAAATCAGTGGCTGCCCATGATAGCATAGTCACAGTATATGCCATTGGCAGCCCAAACTTTACATGATCTCCTGCATCATAGTATCCTCCCGCCAAATTCACCTGCCCATGCAACAATTCATGCATAAGCATAAATATAATCGATTCGACAGTATTAAAGAAGATAAATATGCTTACTAAACATGACATAATGACATGTTTGTTATGGAAGTCTAGATAGTATTAGACTATAAGAAAGCATTAAAGAAGAAAACAAACATGCAATAAAAATCATTGAGAACTAGGGAGATTGAGGCTTACTCCTTGAGAATAACCATCGCCGAGGCCGGAATTGCCACGCCATTTTATCCGTTGATTTACGGGCAACTTGCCGGATCTTTGTGCCTCGAAGAATAACAAACTTTTATCGAGGGCATCGCCGTAGTCAAAGGCAGAGACGGTGGTTGCCACCCAAGCAAGTAGGCCAACTAACAAAGCCAAGTTCACCATTTCTTGGTTTTTCTCTCTGGGATTTGAGAAATTTGGAAGATGACTACTTTGTATTATGTCATGAACATTTGATCTCAGTATATATATATAGATATGGGAGAGAATGGCAATGCAAATAATTATTTATTTATTAGTTAATTGATTTGGTAAGAATATAGAGTGGTAGTCTTCACGTTCAATAGAAAAATAAGAAAACGGAAAAGCCAAGATTGAGCTCTCCACGTTGTGTTGAACGTTTTGCATTATTGAGGATTAGTGGTTCATGTAAGTGACATGTGGACCAGTTTTAAGGTGGTTAGAATAGACATTCTTAAATATGTCAAACGTCTATGTAATTCAACACCTAAGAAAATATGAGGCTGATACTTTGTATATGTATGTTCAATTGGTGCAATATTAAAATCGAGGTATTATTTTTGCTTAGGATTTAGGTCGTGTTTGTTTCAGATTAAAATCGGATTTTAATCTAAGGCTATGTTTGATTACCATTCTTTTCCATGGAACTAAGAATTGATTTTCCATTTCCTACCTTTTGACTTGTTTGATACACAATATTTTCCCACATTTGCCTCCACGTGCACATTTGCTTGCTTTTTGTGGAATTGTTTTTCCCACCATTTTGGTGGGAAAGTGAAATTCCACCTTTTTTTTAATTTTTTTTTTCAATTGGAACAAATTTTATAACTAATTGTAAAAAAAAATTTCACTTTAATGGACAATTTTCATGTAAAACAAAGTCAAACGAATACTAAATTTTGATTAAAAAAATGATTTTCTAGGGATTTTTTTTTTTT